TGGTCACACAGTGTTTCAAAAAATTTCTTATTAATTCTTGAATTGGGTGAAGGAAGCAATTCATTTCCCTTCAAGATTAAGAAAGTCGAAGGAAGCAATTCTAAATGGAAAGGGTCTACGTCAAGAGGCTACTATACACAACCTATTCGGGCTTTTACATTTAGGTATCTAGATGTTCTCTGATCAAATATTTATTACTGGAGAGATGAAATACTTGCATATACAAGTGTTCATATAAAATTGTTGCCCTGTTTATATGACCGTGCTGGATTTGTGATCTTGCTTATTCCGTACAATAGGACAAGTTCCAAATCTTTTGCAAAAGAATGATCATTGGAATACTATCTGAGACTACTTAGCATTCATAAGAAGAGGCTTCATTGGTGAAGATCAAAGAGCAAGAAGAGTGAAAGGGGGAGGATCAAAGAGGAAGTGGGAAGCATTGAAGGTGCCTGCCAAGAATTAGTTGATATTGAGACCACCATTTGCACCCAAGCATTGAATAATTGTTTCAAGAGACAAAGAACTCAATTATTTAGGATTGTAGAATTGATAAGGTGTACTATATTATATGTAGACTTTATTTGAAATTAATAAATTAGCAATTTAGCATACTTATATCAGTATCTATTTACTTAAATCCTTGCCATTTTCATATGATAGGACTATATAGATTCACACACATATAGACATATATGGTATTGGGGTTCAAAACCTCAGCAAGCTAGCAACAATCAATAAGTGAACAATAAAGCAAGATGCTATTTTTGTGTAACACGAAGCTAAATTGTAGTGTGAAATTTAGCACTAATTTGTATCATACCAGTGACAATACTAAAACATCTGCTATAATTAATCAAATTGGACCATAGTTTGACATAAAAAAACATTGCATGTCACCCAAAATAATATTTCAAATACATTCAAAAAGGCCTATGCCATATGTTAAGATATAAAGTCATCCAACAAGAAACTTTGCAAACAACATCCACTTCATCATATACTTGATTTTGCATTGCTAGGTTTATGGTGGAGGTATTGTACTGGTAGACTCTTGTTGTGAGTTTCTTCCAACAGTACATGTTCTTCTATTATGCCCATGGTTTTTGCAAGAAGTACACCGAAGTCGTGCGTTTGTCCTTCAAATCTTATTAGGTTGTGAAGGCTCATCAGATGCTCTTCTTTTTAATTTTGGAGGTCTTCCTGGTCTTTTGTGATAAGACGGAGGGTCTATCTCCTCCCTATTTGTTGCTTCCCACATTTCTTGTCCACTAATCGGCTTCACCACGGGGGAGTAATACTCAACCTAAGCATCTATCTTTAACTAGGAATATACATAATCATGAGGGTCTTCTCGTTTTACAAAAATAGAACTAACTGCATGCCTGAAATAGATAATCAATAGTATGTTAACAAAATCTAAAATAGACTTATGATTCAAAACTCCAACATAACTTTAAAAATTATAACAAACCTGCAAGGTATCCTAGTCAAGTTGCACCATCTGCAAGTACAGCTCTTAGAAGCAAAGTCAACTGAAAATTTATGTGAGTAACAAGAGACCTCAAATTCAAATTCTCCTGCTTGTCAAGCAATCCATTTTCTTGATTCACGAACTTCTTTATCCAACCTTCGCCTTGGATTTGGGCATACACTACTTCCACAACTTTTAAATTTCTCTGCCTTTCTTTTATTTGCTTGAAATCTTGTCATGATATAAGTGCGAATCCATTCTAACAAACCAATGATTGGAAGTTCTCGAGCTTCTAAAAGCCTACCATTAAATGATTCTGATATGTTATTCATAATCACATCACACTTTGGATATTCAGTGAAGTGAGATTTTGTCCAACATTGAGGAGGGAACTTCATCAAATGGTCATATGCCTCTTTAGATCTATTTTTCAACTCATGCATTTTTGCTTCCATCCATTGACATGTGTTGCTTTTGCAGCTTGTAATACCAAATCTCTAATCATAGTTCCACCACCATATCTACTCTTAATGTTGGCATATAAATGCCTAACACACAAGCAATGCTCAACTTTGGGAAGAAGTGACTCAAATGTTGGCATTAATCCCTATGACAAAAAGAAAATCTATTAAGGCATTAAAGATAAATGCTATTTAAGTAAAAGAAAAAAAATGCATATTAAGTACCTTTTGCTGATCAGAAATAAAGACCCATCTTTGTGTTCTTCCTATGTCATTTAGAATATGCTCAAGAAACCATGACCATGAATCTCGATTTTCACCTTCAACTATAGCGATTGCCAAAGGAAAATATTGCTCATTTGCATCACATCCCACTGCTACTACTAATATTCCACCATAAGGCCCCTTTAAGAAGCATCCATCTAAGCCAATAATAGATCTACATGTTGCTAAAAATCCTATCTTGACAACATCCAAACAAAGATATAATCTTTTGAATCTTGGTGGTCTATCAATAAAAGGACGATCTGTCAAAATTGTAAATGAAGTTCCAGGACTTTTAGAGAGGACCTTATTGTTGTAATCCCATAATCTCTTGTACTCATCCATAAAATCACCTTCAATATCTTGCTTTGCCCTTCTTTGTGCCCAGTAAGCCTTGGGCATTGACACCTCTGCCATGTAATCCTCCTTAATTGTAGATATCACATCTCCAAGACTCATATTCTTATTTATGTTCATTCTATTTTTAATCTTTCTTGACAACCATTTAGAAGAAACATTCCTAGAACTAAAGGTCACACCACAAGTGTGTCTTGAATTATAAGTCTTCACATGATATGTCATCGAATCCCTCTCTTTACTTACAAATATTAGCCAATCACAACGTACACACTTTATGCGACACCTGACACTATCATTTTTAATAATATTGTTTCATATCCATTCATAAGTGAATACTCCCTAACGGCTTCCCTAAATTGATCAATTGAGGTGAACTCCATTCCAAGTTCAAAGATAAAGTCTTTACACATCTCATTTGGATTATATCTTTTGTAACGACTAGTCACAACCCCCTCTTCCAAATCCAAGTCAGATTCATCTATAGATTCCAATGAATCAGTTTGATGATTAGATGACAAAGAGCCCATATCTTCATCAACCAATGTTAAGGTATCCATATTATCTAATGACATGTTATCTTCTTTAAAATAAGTTTCATCATCTTCCTCAATACTTAACTCATCGTCTTCATCACTACTCCATTCATAACCCCCTATTTTTCATTTCATATGGTTAGGCATCACAAAAGTAACACAAATTGTATTATAATATTAACATAAATCAGACGTATCCATCACTTACCGATGCTAGTTGAAACATCCATGTATTTGAAAATCTATATATTCACAAAAAAAAAAAGAAAACAGAACAATTAATAAAATAGTTACAGTGCAAAAATGATATAACTAGAATTTGGATCATATAAACCAAGGGACACAAAGTAGGCATCTTACACTCTAGTATCTTAGCCAAAAACTAACAAAAACTAATGACCAATTTTTTCGTGCTAATACTATAAAATATAGGATGGTGTTATTAGACTCTATTGACAATGTTGATGCTAAATGAATTATTCATCAATTTTTTCTCTAACATATGATCATTCAAAAGGCTTTATTTATATGTATTGCACATCAGTATTTTTGTATATATTTTTTTTCTTCTCATTAATCTAGATGGATAATTGATACAGTCAAATTAGACGAAGGGGACCACCAAATAGAGTCAAGATAGAGCCAAAATCGATGAATATAACAAGTATTACTTAAATAAACCAATGGGACCACTAAAGCCTTCTGCCATGTGAAACAGAAATACTTTTGTCACACACACACACACACACACATATTGTAAAAAATTCTAGGAGCACATGCATCTGACACACCAAACAAGAGAGCTTCAAGCGGCCCTTATAATGTATAAAGCACACAGATAAACTGCTACAAAGTAAATAATTTTCACTTGCCAATACTCCTTTGCAATCTTCTAAAGTCTTATCTCCTTCTTCATCTAATCTTCTTCTTTTCTGGCTCTCTCTTCTTCATTGTCCTCTGTGTCCGTATGTCTTTTTCATTATGGGGAGTTTTCGTCTTCTTGGCATCTACACTGCACTTTGTCTCAATTAGTATTTCCTCTACCCGTCTTCTTTTTCTTTGCTCCTTTGCTTTTAGTCTTTGTTCGGTCACCTCTATTTCACTTTCTTGTTTTTTTGAAAACCCTACGTTAACTGAAATTATGCTTTTTAATCTTAAATAAATTCCACATGTCTCTGACTTGGCACCCACATAAGTAATCAGTAACGGAGTTAATAATGTTTTCTTACAGGTTGGACGAGTTGGGCTGATTTATTAATGATAAAAATCATTTTCTAAAAAATAAGAAAGATAAGGGATTGAGTTATAAGCAAGCCAAAAGTTGAGCGACTGAATCGCAGTGAGTCATAGTTGAGGGACTGAGTTATAAGTGAGTTAAAAGTTAAAGGATTAAAAGAATAATTTTCCCAAAAAATTTAAAATTAAGGATTTCACTGTTCATCTTGTCGTACACTGTTCATCTGAAAATGGGCTAACTTTGAAACTTCATAACTAAATCTAGAAAAATTGAAACAAAGTGGTTCTAATTTTCACGCGAAGCTTGCTAGGATTTCTATGGAGGAAAAATAATCATTAGGTCTAATTCCATCCAAAATAATTCCAGAAAATTCATCAAAATATACTGTTCATTTGGTAAATTTTTGAATTTCCAGTATTTTTGCCCAACTTTGGAAGGGCATAACTCTTAGCACACAACTCCAAATTTAATGACTTACCATGTGTTTTAAAGATAAAAATGAGATCTATTTGCCTGTAAAATTTCATGCCCAAATTAGAACAATTGTCCATTATTTCATGTGCCAAAAGTTTGACACTATTTAAGGAGATTTTATACCCTAATACCACTTTCTTTAATTTATTTCTCCTTTTCCTTTTTCCTATGCTCTTTTGACATTGCACCATTCATAATTTGAGCATGAGGGCATGTCGCACAAACATAATTTGCATCACATAATCATTCATAATCTATTACAATCTCAACATAAAGTTCACTATTACATTTCACAACATAACATAATAGCATCTATTCCATAATGCTCCTTTATCCCAAGATTATCTCCTTTCCTTGCTCCATACTTGGTCCACTTCCTAATTGGGGCATAAAATAACATAGGAGAAATGAGATTTCAAAGAAATCTAAGTAGCATATGAATTATAATTGTCATATAAATCAATGCAAGTTTAATTGTAAAATGTCATGCAATCCAAACCATTCCCAACTCATAGGAATTCATACCAAGTATCATGCGAGGAGAGGAACATCATATTATCCATATTGACATACCACAAAGCATTTGGCCGAAGCATAACCAATGTCAATCAAATAATCAAGGTCACCACAAAGTTCCTCCAATCCAAGCAACAATAATCACAACAAACAAGTAAGATAAACAATCAAATTATAATTCAAAGCTACCTTTGCAAAGCTTGTCCAATTAATTCCTCCAAGGAGAAATGCTTCTCCTTAATTCCTTCTCTCAATGCCTATTAAACCAAGTATAATCATAGGCCATATTAATCATAAAACAACTTAATTCTAATACTTAAACATTAACTCAGCAATTCCCCTCCCCCCCCTTTTTTTTTTAACGAATTGATTCCTTCTTTAGAATCAATCATCTTATAACTCAGTCCTACACAATTTTTCATGAGGAATCCAATGGTGCAATCAGATTTTTAAAAATCACACTCCTTCCCCATGAACTCCTCTTGGCTGAATAGGGGGTATTTATTTTTCAAAAATTCTATTTTTGATTCCAATGATTTTAAATACTTTCCAACAACATATCCCTATACACAAACATGTTTTAAAGCCATTGGAATCATCAAATCAAGCAAAATCAATCAGCCCCTGCATGAACAGTGCTGGCTGAAATTCTCCCTTTAAACCCTAACCTTGATTTCATCCAAAAATCAATCCATACATCACTTAATCTTGTTCATTCCACTTGATTATTAAGGTTTCTATCCTTCCCTAAGCATCACACATCTCAACCGAAATTTTTCAGATTTTTCCAAGGAAAAATCCTTGTTTAATCAATGTGAACTTAGGGATATTGATGCTTGGACATACCTTAGTGTTTCCTTGAAGTAAGTTGGATGATTCCTTACCTAAAACACCTTAGAATTTTCGTGCAAGGGTGCTGGATGAACAGTGACAGAGTCTTCCCTTCTTTTTCCCAATTTTCCAACATTTTTCATGTATTTTTAAGGGGTATATATAGAAAAATGTGGTCTGCCCTTCCTCCTCCTTGTTTGGCTGAATTGGACACCTCATGGGGGTTATGTGGCAGTTATCAAGTGTCCAAAATATTCAGATCACTCCAAGTGGTCATAAACTAGATTTTTCCACACAAATATCTCTTAATTTTTGCATTTTTCTTTAATTAATTGAAGCCTCCAGATTCTGCACGAAATTGGGCCTTTAATGGGCTCAATGTGGGCCCCACAAATATTTTGGGCTGATCCAAAAAGATGGCCCACAAACCAAATCACTATCTTAAACCAATTAAAAACTTTATCGATTACTATTCACTAGTAACATTCCACAATTTTTTCAGACCTCCAAAAATTCATTTCTCTCCATGATAATTCACCTTTTAATATGATAATATGATTTGAAAATTTTTAGAATTTTTCACAACTTCTAGGTATTTATTTTTAATTTTCTCTTATTAGGCCTCTATCGTTGTCATTGCAGGAAATAAATTCTCTAAAATTAATTCCTGAGTTTCCAAGGCCTAAAACCAATTTTATAAATTCAAATAAAAATTTATATGAAATTTTCATCAATCTCCCAAATTTATTGAGGCCTCTAACTAATTTAAACAATTATTTTCCTTCATTTTCCCAATAATTTCCTGAAAAATCTCTATTTACAGGAAATTCCGTAATAATTCATTTTCACCGAAATCCCACCTTTTGGGCCTCAATCGAGTTTTCAAAACCTCTACTCTACACTTTTCCCTTTTGTTTTTGGAGATTTTCTAGAATTTTTCTCAAATTTTTCCGTTTTGCCCTTCCTAGACCGATGATTATAAAAATGTCAGTTCGGACCTTTTCGGGATTTCATATCAAAAGTTGTTTCATCTCCTCATCTAGTTCCTACATTGACCCTCATCCCAATTTTTAATCCTTTATTGCCAGATAAAAATTTTTGGGATGTGACATCTGTCGTCTCCTTCTCCTTCTTCTGCTGCTTCACCCGTCTTGGTTTTTGCAATTGCTTCCGCTTTTTGTGTGTTGTTAAGCTGCTTGGTTGGGGTAGTACAAGCTCAAATCCCTCCTACAGATCCGTCCAAAGGTATCTACATAATTTCATTGGTAGATGCTTCTCTCTTAATGATCTGTCTCATATATATCCAATGGACTATGAATTATTATTAACATTTAATTAATAATTTGGGTAGCAAAAGCTTTGAATTCAATCTTCAACAAACGAAATAGATCGGCACAAGAAAATATATGGAATATAAGCGGTGAGATATGCAGCGGACAAGCCGTCGACAACACTACCTTGATTGACACTGTCAGTCCATTTATCAAATGCAACTATTCTAGTACCACTTGCCACATTTATGCACTGTCCATATAATCTGATCTCTCTCTAATTAGCTTGATTTTTCTTCAACATGTTGTTAGTTACTTATTGTCTTATATTTTGTTGATCTATCTTGTTCTGGCAGGTATGCTAATGCACAGGATGTTGTTGGCCAAATCCCACTAGAGCTGTGGACCCTCACTCACCTCACCTATTTGCATGCTTTTTAATTATCTCCTCCTCACTCGCTTCTCCAGAAACTTAATTAAAACATCCATATGCTTTATATTTATTCTTTTTTTCTGGATACATGCTTCATATTTATTCTAATGTTTCCTCAGATTAAATTGCCATCATCAGGAACCTATGCAAGAATTACTTGACGAGTCTGTAGCTCTAGCTATCGAAAATCTAAGTCGGCTGCAGTACTTGTAAGGCTAATTAATCATAAAGTTGTAATGCTTCTTGTGCCTAGGAATCCTCTTAGTTTCCTTTGAGGAAATTTATTACTCTTAAGTGAATTTGGATATACCCACAGTTTTAATGTGTTGATAATATTAAATTAAAAAAATTAAATCAACTAATTCCTACAATTTTGAGTCAGTTATCAAATTTTAATCGTAACTAACTTGTTCCTTATAATTTCAACTCAATTAAAACTCGATTTCTGAACTTTGACTTGGTGTAACTCATTTATCATGATTTAATCTAGGGATAAAGTGCTTAAATACTTCGAAAATATCTATGAAGGAGCACCAGCACTTGAAATTTTTTTTTTTGGCTCTTGTATGCCCTAGAAGTTTTATTTCATTACAAAAATACCCTAGTCATTATCCGCTGTTAAATTTAACTGTTAAATTATGCAGTTTGATCAAATGTTTTTAATAGTCAAACTCAATAATGGATAAAGATATATGACAGAAATGCTACGAAAATAAACTTCTAGAGCACATAAGAGTAAAAAAAAAAAATTCAGGTACTGGGTGTTCCTTTATGGATGTTTTTAGGGTATTTAAGCATCTTATCCCTTTTATCTATTTAAAACGTTGGCCTATATTTTTGAAAGTACACTAAAGTTATATAGGTTTTGAAACTCAGGACTATTGTTTTAAATGATTAAAATTATACAAGGACTAAGTTCTACTGAGTCAAAGTTTAGACCCTGAGTTTTAACTAAGATAAAAATTAAGAAACTGAACTTCAACCAAATCAAAATTATAAGAATCAAATAATTAATTTTTTAAAGAAAAACTTAGACCGCTTGTATGATATGATGGAAAGACTTATTCAAAATTACTCATATTCCTATCTTAAATAGAGAGAATCTGAAACTTGTTTGTTGTTGATCGTGATATATCCTCAGGAACTTACTTGCACTTTTATGTGAATTTCTCACAATTAGGAATTTGGGTGGCAATGCTTTATCTGGGAAGCTTCCAAAGGAATTGGGGAGTCTTATTGAGTTAGTATCATTGTACATTATCCTCTTTCTCTTAATTATAACAAGTTTCCATAGATTATGATTGCATCATTTTATGTACAAATAGTACTTAATATAAGATCTAGTTTGTGGTTTAAATTCTGTTGGATTTTGGGTTTAGATCCGCCCTTGATGGGTCGGATTATTTGATTGGATGTTAGAGAATATTCCAATCAAATATTTTAAGGAAGATTATAATTAGTTTGACTAGGTTAAATAATTTGAATATATTGCAAATCTGGTCTTATAAGATAAGTTAAATTAATTTATATTATCTAAATTAAATATATATTAGAGAATGATATATCAGGCCAGTAAACCTGTAAGTATAGGCCTCAATCTATAGTCCAACTCGTCGCAATCGTTAAGTTCTCTAACTATCTCTCATCCTTTTCTCTAATATTTTCTTTTGTGTAGTACTCTACTATGCCACTCAAGTTTAGGTTATAATAGCCTAAACCCTGCATGAGTTGGTAGGTCAACTAGTGGAGCTTTAAAGAAATGATTCGGATTCAAATTAACATGGATCCGACCTAATACACACTTCCTAGTTTATATTTAATTTTTCTGACAAAATCGAAGGAAGGCATTATTTGTTTTCTTGATATTAATGAATGACAATAAGTAATAACTAGGAGCTTAATCAAAGACCCTTGTGTTTAAGAAGATAATGTTTCTTGTGGAAAATATATGTTGATGAATGATGATATTATCAGCTTCCACTTTATTCTTTGCCAATTAATCATGCACGCGTCTTGGAACAAACAACTTCTCAGGTCCTATCCCTTCAGAACTAGGCAATCTGGTGAAGTTGCAAGAACTGTAAGTTCCACTAGTCTTTTATCTATATATCTATGTTTTTTAAGGTACTTTTTGGTATGAGAAAAATAGAAGGGAGGGAAAAGAAAGAAAAATTTTAATAAGCTCTATTTAAAAAATTGGAGAAGTGGGTTTTGAAATTTTAATAAAGACAAGAAGTAATATAAAAGAGTAATAAAAATTAATTAAAAGCTTTTAACTCCATTTTTTCAAATTTTTAAATTATGCTTATTAAAATATTCCCTCTCCTCCCTTTTTCTTATTTTTCTTCATATCAAACGCACCCTAAATTGAGTAAACTAGTAAAAATATATAGATTTTATGCCGGTTTGACTAGTTATAAACCAGTTCAAACTGGTTCCTAGTTCTCTTGTCAATTCAGAATCGGGCACTAAGCTGGTTTCCAATTCAATTCTATCAAATTCATTCAATTTAGCATGTGTTTTATTTCATGTGAATGGAATCAATTGATTGCCGTCGAGCCTCCTTAGCGGCAAATAGGGTGAGTGACTAGAATCAAATAAATCCAGGTGGCACATGTTAATTACAAAACTAGACAGATTAGATATAATGGAATAGATGTAAGTTTTGTCCAAAACTGTGATGACATATA